CTAGGTAACATCTTCAGTGGGGTTTTGGAATAAGATGTCTTGTTCTGCCTTTCTTCCGTTTATATAGGTCTCGTGTAGTGTTGTGGTTATTGGGTCATGTTCACATGGTTGTTCACGTGGCATGGAATTTAACTGGGGAGGTGGCCGATTTTGTCATTGATCGGACAGTTGGATGGTCCAATTCCTTATAGGTTCATACACTGGTTCTAGGTCCATTCATTTATTAATGGATCCATTTGTAGAGTGCCAGGCGTCGATGAATTCATGTGCATGACAAGTTTTGGCGTGGCCGGTGACTTTGGTCTCGTCCCACTGGAACCGCTGTTGTTCGTTGTCGGTCTGGCTCGGCGTCGTCGAATGTGGCGTGACTTCCTTAGCAGGAAGACTTATGTGCTACTGGTGGAAATGTGGGGTGACTGCTATTTTTGACCGTTTTAAAGAGATGTGATAAGACTATCAGTGTCTACTTGTTGTAATGGTTTTACACATATCCACGCAGAACAAACCACAATAGGGGAAACCAGACAGACGTAGGAGATGTGAGCCATATCAAGCCATCTTGGTGTGCAGCTGGATGGCAACAGGATGCTGAATTAAAGAAGCTTCTGACCTGGTTCCCTAGCACTCTTTTTTGCTTCTAGAGACACTCTAAAACAGGAGAAATAAATTTGAACATCGGTGACATGGTGTGGGATGCAGTGGTTCAGAAGTTGGATTAGGAGTGGGCCTATCTGAGTTTAAGTCAATAATCCACCTCGTTCTAGGGTGGGAATAAAATGCTATCGTGGGTTACAAGAGAAATTGGGAATGATTAAATTAAAAAAACCTTAGAGCCGAGGGTAGTGCAAAATATTTAATTTCGAGCCATTGCAAGTGCAAAAAAAAATGTGGAAAAACCTGTTTTAAGCGTGAATCTGCTGATGTTGAATGTAGAGCGAGTACATTGAACATTTGGAAAGGGTGCTTGAAATCTTTTCAGACCGTTATAATTCATCATTTCCACCTTGCCGGGTGGAGTCTGAATAGAGCTGAGTGTTTACTGGCCGGATGCCCTTCCTGTTGCCAATGCGGAGTTTTGTTCAGCAGATACATTCTCAGTGTGCCCAGAGAGAGAGAAATACCTGCCTCTACCTAGGATTGAACTCACAGTCTCCTGATTATGAGGCAAGAGATCTACCTCTAAGGCCACCGCACCACTGTTTTGGACCCTTATAATTAACCCCAAACCATTATATCATTCTTCCCTTGGAGAGCTTTCTCTCAAACGTGGAGCCAGCATGGTCTGTTTCCCATCAATCTCCATCTTTGTTTTGGAAAATAAAATTGTCAGCAGTTCACCCTGATGTCATTTTGAACACCTAAATGTGACTGTTTCATAGGGAATTGGGGCAGGGATGGGATTTTACCGGTTTGGACCAGTTTGGGCGAACCGGAAGTTAAATTTGCACCTGGTCCACCGAACCAGTATTTGAACCAACCGGCTGGCCCCACCCACTCACCTGTCCCCTCCCAGGAGTTTCCACATGGCCCATTTTTGATGCAAGTAATTGCAAGCATGGAGGCTGTAGGAGGAGGGAAAATGTGCCTTCCAGAAGTCTGGAAACGGGCCTGTTTCCGGCTTCCGGAAGGCCTCCAGGGCCTGGGGGAGGCCATTTTCACCCTCCCAGAGGCCCGAGGGAAGCCTCCGGACTCTGGGGAAGGTGAAAAACAGCCTTCCCGGAAGTTCCAGTAGGACACGTCCACCATGGCCACACCCACCCAGCAACTGGGCAGCGAACCGTTTGCTGGGATTTTTGAATTCCCCCCCTTGGAATCGGGGTTAACTGGCTCATTTGAAGTTCATCTGAAGTCTGACTGTGCTTTATGATCTTTTTAAGTCCTTGCAAGGCATCCCAAATGCTAAATCTTTGGCCTTCCCTCCCGCTCCAGTTATGGTCTTACACACAATTTTGTGAAGTTGCAACTGGAGAAGGCTGAGAAACTGCTAGAAGCAAAAATATTCTCTTAGCTGGTTAAACCTCATTTTTCTGCACTTCTTAGCGACTTGGGGGTTGAGGTGGGCAGGGTCCCTGATTCGTATTTGGACTGCTTGTTATCTCTTTGGAAACTGCTCCAACAAGTCTGGGCATTTGGCTTCTCTGCCAGCCCATAATTAATGCTCCTTCTAACTGCCAGTCTCTGAGGAGTTGTGCCCGAAGCCGGTTCATTGAAGTCGGGTGGCTTGGCAGTTGAAATGGAATGTTGGGTTGAAGACAAAAAAAAAAAAGGATGTGGATAAACTGGATTTCTTTTTTCTAGGGGCATTTTCTTGGCATCTGATTGTCAGAAAACAAAAGGTTGGCTGAGTAAAGAATGCTTGGAAGACTTGGATGGGATCACAGAGACTGAGGAGGTCCTTGGTGCTCCCAGAGCTTAGTTGCTTTTCTTGCAGATATTTCATAACCCCAACTAGATAACATCATCAGTGCTAACACTAGACTTACATGGTCATGTTACCTAGTTTGGATAATGAAACATCTGCAAGGAAGCAACCAAGGACCTACAGTCCTCCTCTCGCAAACCACACTGATGATGTTACCTAGTTGGGTAATGAAATGTCTACAAGTTCAAAGAGCACCAAGGAGGTCACAGGCCTTCTCCTCCTCTTCCTCCTTCTCCTCCTCCCTCCTTTCACAAACCACATTCCTTCTAGCATTGATGATGTTACCTAGTTTGGATAATAAAACATCTGCAAGAAAGCAACCAAGGACCTATAGTCCTCTTCCTCCTCTCGCAAACCACATTCCCTTCTAACACTGATGATGTTACCTAGTTGGGTAATGAAATGTCTACAAGCTCAAAGAGCACCAAGGAGCCCACAGGCCCCTCCTCCTCCTCTTCCTCCTTCTCCCCCTCCTCCTTCTCCTCCTCTCTAAAAACACTGCTCTCTTCTAGCACTGATGATGCTATCAAGTTGGGTCATGCAAATATTGGCAAGAAAACAACTAGGCTCTGAGAGCACCAAGGGCCACTCAATTCAGTGCTGAGCTACAAATCTTATCAGTCTGCTTGGAATAGACCCATTTCTAGTCTGCCGTAGCTGGGTTCACACATTACACGGTGAGCCACACACCGTGCTTGACCGAATGTGGTGGCTGAGCTTGAAGTCTTTGCTGATGTGGGTTTGTCTTTTTTTGGTTTGAAATTATCAGAATCAAGTTCATAGGGCTGGAGAAGAACCTACCTTTGACTTGGTCACTTCTCTGGATCTGTATATATAACTGCATGGATAGTTATTATACTTAATTTCCTAATGTTCCAATCTCTCCTGGGCCCTATTATCACCTGTCATGTACTGCAAATCAGTCAAGGGCACGAATATTTTACTAGTTTCGAATTCCGAGGCGCCCAAGTTTTTCTGCTTCTTTAAAATAGCTATTTATTCTCGGGCTGTTATCTGGCAGAACCGGATTCTCTAGTTTTAAAACTTTGTCGTCCATATCCCTTGGACTTCTTCTTCCCCCATGCCCCCCCCCCGCCCCCCCCCAGCAAATAATACAATCTGTCTTACATTTGAATCTTCTCGGAAGGAAGTTTCCTTGTTTCCTTTGAATCCTATTGGCTCATAACAATCTCAGTCACAATGGTGATGTAACTGAAAAAGTGGCTTTGGAGAAAGAAAAGACAGGCGTGGTAAAAGGGAAGGAAAAGATTTATTGAAATAGGTGGTGGGCAGCCTTTTAAATCCCTCAAAATGCCCGATGAGTAGGCATCTCCTTAGAGAAGAGATGAAAAAAAAATTTCATCATGGCTGGCAGGTATGTAACCTATGAAGGGTGGGTAAAAATTGATGATTTTTTTTAAAAATAAAAAAATATTGGATTTTTAAAAAAATTAAATCAGATTTTTTTTTTTTACTTTCATCAAATTTATTTCAATAAAATGCTTTTGGAATAAAAATCTACCTAAAGATAGTTTTCTATTTAAGATACATTAATAATGTAGTTTATTCAGCGTGAAATGGAGCTTAGTTATGTAGCGTGAGACTGTACATTTTGCAATATTTACATTTTTGGTCAACTCACTCAGTGAATCCAAGTTCTGCAAGCTGAGATAACATGCACTGCGTTGATGCATTCGCACAATTTCACAGCAGAGTCATGACAGTTGCTCTTTAAAAATTATGATTTAAAGCTTGGTTTAAATCACGAGAAAAAAGGCTTAACTTAAATCAACTCAATGTAAATTATATTTTTTAAAGAGCAACTGTCACTTCTGCTGTAAGTCTAAGTGCTATGCCTGCCTGCCTGCCTGCCTCCCTTCCTTCCTTCCTTCCTTCCTTCCTTCCTTCCTTCCTTCCTTCCTTCC